CCTCTGTATAATGGAATTTCAGAGCAGGATTTGACCGTTTTCTTGCTCTCTGATATTGATGCACATGTTACTAGCAGAATGGCTTTGTTTGCACTGGCGGCGAAAAAGATAAGACTGGGTATAGGACTTACTGTAAGTTACTGATGTATACTGTTGGTTGTGCTTTGATTTATTTTGTGTTGTTATGGCCAATGGCTAAGACAATAAACTAAAGTAAACTTGACTAAAGCACGCTGGAGCAAACAAATGACACTTGTAGGGTTGCCAGCTCCAGGTTGGGAAAGACCTGGAGATTTTGGGGTTGGGACCTAAAGAGGGTGGGGTTTGGGGAGGAGAGGGACCTCAGCATGAAGCAATAGATCACACACACACGCCAAAGCAGCCATTGCCTCCCGATCTCTGGAGTCTGAGACCAGCTGTACTTCTGAGAGGTCTCCACCCGCCACCTGGAGCTTGGCAACTCTATCCTCAGGGCCTCTGTCAATGCCCAACCCACGGGGGTTCCCTGAGACAGCTGGGTAGCCACTTGTTCAAGCCCGGCATTCGGAAAGAAAGAAATTGCAGGTCCCTGGCCTCCACATCACCAAAGAGAGTCGTGTGTCGCCTGCTCCCAGCACTTGGGGGCCCCTGTGTGACACAGAGTGTTGGACTGGATGGGCCTTTGGCCGGATCCAACACTGGCTTCTCTTGTGTTCTTATGTTCTTAAAGAGAGTCGTGTGTCGCCTGCTCCCAGCACTTGGGGAAAGCACTTTGGCGTATAGGCGAGAGAGTCAGTTAAAGCTTCTTCAGAAGCCAGCCGTGGCCTCCCAGCCAGCCTCCCTCCACCTTTCTGAAAGGAAGAGACGTATCCTTGGAGGCTGGAATCCGCCTCTCGGCTTCCTCCCTTCCTCTGATGGCTGCAGTTATTTTGATCTATCCCTCCCCTTCTGGGTGCCTGCAGGGACGGCGCTCCATCCCGCCCGTGTAACCCGAGTTCCAAATCTGGAGGGGGCCACTTAAAGAGAAGAGGAGGCGGAAAGTTCAGACCCTCCTGCCTACACAGCCCCTGCCTCCTCCTGCTGAGTCCGTCATCTTGGGACACAATTAAGCAGAGCAAGGACTAGTGGCTCGGGCTGCACAGAGAGCTAACAGCTGACCCGAGACTGCCAAACAGCTTGAGAATGTGGATGTGCAGCAGTTACCTGCCTAGACTAGATCTGAGCCACTAACCTCTGAACCCCATTATCTTCCCCCAAAACTGAGCCCCGGTCCCCCGCCTGGATTCTCTCACAGGGAAAGAAAAGTACGAGGCTGTGACCGAATGTTCCCAGCGGTTGGTCCTCAGTTCCTGAAATGTGCCCAGCTTTGTGAGCTGGCAGATCGGCCCCCAGCCCTGACTTTAGTGAAAGCTGCCAAGATCAGTCCTGTACTTATTTCGCTTTTCCGGTAGTTATTTTGCTTTTTTTGAGAGCCAGTTTGGTGTGGTGGTTAATTGCACAGACTCTAATCTGTGAGAACCGGGTTTGATTCCCCACTCCTCCACTTGCACCTGGCTGGATGACCTTGGGCAAGCCATAGTTCTGTCAGAGCTGTCCTTGAAAGAGCAGTCCTCAAAAGAGCTCTCTCAGCCCCACCTACCCCACAGGGTGTCTGTTGTGGGGAGGGGAGGGGATGGGGAAGGAGTTTGTAAGCCGCTCTGAGACTCCGAGTAAAGGGCAGGGTATAAATCCAACCTCGTCTTCTTGCCCCATTCAGCAGGTATTTTGGGACTAGCATTAGGAATCAACCCACAAAAGCTATTAGCTCCAAGACATTTTACTAGCCGACAGATGTAAACAAAGGTTTAAAAAGGCACAGGAGTACTCCTGAACACATTAAGGGTGTGTTCAGACGCGCCGTTTGATCTGGTGTCATGACAGTTCAACGGATTTTGTCTATGCAATCACACAGTCAACATCTGCCTCCCTTCCCCAGCCATAGCGTGGATGACAGTCTCTGCAGTTTTCCCAAACTGTGGGTTCTGCTGAGGGGCAGAGGGGTGTACAATGTAAACGACAACAATATCAAACCTCTTTGTTCATTCGCTGTTGGTCCTGTCAGTTTTCAATAGGGCATTCTTGCTTAATGGCTTAAAACCACTGGCTTCAAGTGTTGGAGCTTCCTTCCACTTCTCAGTTTCTGACTTTGGCCTTGGTTTCTGCTTAGCCTAACCATCCCTTTTCCCACCTGTGCTGTGTCCAACAGGTACAGACCTACATGGAGCACCACTGCAATAACACGACCGACAAGCGCATCCTTCAGATGTTCCTTAACATCTGCAGCGATTTGAGCAAACTGTGCCAGAGGCTAGAGTCTCTGCACCCTGGGAACAGCACAACCAACGCCCTGCTGGAGAAATGCAAAATGCTGGTGAGCCACAGCAACGACCTCAGCGCCATCCGAGCCAAGTAGGCAACTATTCCGCATCTTCTCCATTTGTAGACAAAGGGTTTTTGCTCATTCTCATATCCCTTGCTTGTGTGTTGTTCTTGCTTCAGGGTGGTGGTGGTGGTGGTGGTGATGTTCTGAATGTGTTTTGCTGCCTCTAGTGGTCAATTCAATATTACAGTGCTTTAGTTCCGGCATATCTCACTGCAGATTTAAATGCAGGTTTTTATGCCAGACATAAAGTCACATTGAACTGACCATGAGAGGGAATAAAATCAGGGGTCGTTTCGTAGAAAAAGAGCTAGGGGAACTCATTAGCATAACTCATTAGCATATGCCACACCCCCGCCATCACCGGAAGTGTGTCATAAGGCCACACCCCCTGACATCACCGGAAGTGTGTCAGAAGGCCACACACCCCGCCCCCAACAGTCCCGGCCGCCACCGCCAGCCTTGCAGCTCCACTGCCGAGCCCCATGAGGGCGGTGGACCTGCAAGGCCGGTGGGAGCGGGAGAAATGCAAAATGCTGGTGAGCCACAGCAACGACCTCAGCGCCATCCGAGCCAAGTAGGCAACTATTCCGCATCTTCTCCATTTGTAGACAAAGGGTTTTTGCTCATTCTCATATCCCTTGCTTGTGTGTTGTTCTTGCTTCAGGGTGGTGGTGGTGGTGGTGGTGATGTTCTGAATGTGTTTTGCTGCCTCTAGTGGTCAATTCAATATTACAGTGCTTTTGTTCCGGCATATCTCACTGCAGATTTAAACTGCAGGTTTTTATGCCAGACATAAAGTCACATTGAACTGACCATGAGAGGGAACAAAATACATGCAGAACAGAAAAACACATTGAAGCAACAGGAACACACAAGTGAGGAAAAATCGAATGTAGAAAAGCCCAAAATGATTTTGTAAAACTAGGGTCGCAAAGTGTACAAAATTAGCCACATTTTGTTTAGTAAAACATCATTTGCAATTGATTAGCCACCCCAACCCTGTTTTAATTGTGGGCACACATTTGATCACTGGGTTCCTCTTGTCGTCCCATGAAATGTCCTTAAACAAATTACTTTAAGATGATCAAGAGAACCAGTTTGGTGTCGTGGTTAAGTGCGCGGACTCTAATCTGGGAGAACTGGGTTTGATTCCCCACTCCTCCACTTGCACCTGCTGGATGACCTTGGGCAAGCCATAGTTCTGGCACAGCTGTCCTTGAAAAAGAGTAGTTTCTGTCAGAGCTCTCTCAGCCTTACCTACCTCACAGGGTGTCTTTTATGGGGAGGGGAAGGGAAAGGCGTTTGTAAGCCGCTCTGAGACTCTGAGTGAAGGGCGGGGTATAAATCCAATCTCCTCCTCCTCTTCTTCTTTTGCAAGAGGTCAGCTGTAAGTCAGCTGGCTATTCAACTTGCAAAGTAATGAGGGGGGGGATCCCTTTAAAAAAAAGGCACAATGTGAAGCGCCTTTGCTTTTGAGCAGACAGCTGAAAAAAAGAATTGTCTCCCATTTAGATAACCCTCCTGTTGATTCAGCAAACAGACCCTTCCGTGCAGTTTTTCCTTGAGATGTCCCCCCCCCCCGGTTCATTTTGCATGAGGGGGACCTTTTCGTCGGCATGACGCACACAAAAGAACACAGCACCTTGCTAGTGCATATTTTTCATATTTGCAGTGCATCTTCCTCCCTTGAGCTCAGGCTAGCAGACACAATTCATCCATGTGCAATAACAGCTCAGCAGCTGAAGTGGGAGTGGGCTGGGACATGCAAGCAAAAGGGGTATGACTTTTGAGGCTGTGCTCAGATGTGCAGTTTGATCCGCTGCCGTTGCTGTTCCCTTACAGATGTAAAATGCACAGTCAGACAGCAACAGCTGTCTGTCGTGCCCCAGTCGTCTTAGTCCCATTCTACCCTACCTTTACTGCGTGTTTCTTTGATACCTGTGAAAGTCCAGTCCTGTTGGTCTGAACTGGTTCCAAAATGGATTTCCTGTTGTCTGATTGCCCTGTTGCGCACCCAAGCTGTCAGGCAGGTCTGACTGGTCTCTTGTTTTCCGGCTGCCATTTTTTTTACTAGTTAGCGATATGCACATAACTGCATATTCGCACCTCTCCCCCTCTCCCACAGGGGCTGCTCAAAACTTTGTTTTCTTTATAAAAACTTTCAAAGGAGGATGCGTCTGTACTTCAGGTTTTTTCTGTGCTTTGGGGAAGGGGTTAATTGAAAAGTTTAGAGAGGGAAATCGGCAGTGAACTGCATATCCCAGCAGGCTCATCAGCACTTGTGCGCATGCTTAGAGGACAAACTTTTTAAAAAGTGGCCAGTGGCCCCATGAACTACATATCCCAGCAGGCTCATCACGCTTGTGGGCAAAGGTCAAACAAAAAAAAATGGCTGACAGCCTCACTCCCTGGCTGCTGGTCTGATCGCTCAAGGTCAGGATAAAGAGTGCTATAAGGGGTGAGTCTGATCATGATTCTCTGTTGCAAAATAACCTGGATCAATTAGAGGCGGGGCAACAGCAGATCAAACTGCCCGCCTGACCACAGCCTGAGTGATTCCCTCCCTCCCCCATTTGTCAGACAGTCTCTGCACATAGCGTAGCGGCAGCTCAGGGAAAGAAAAATTCTAGCCAGCCCTTTGCCTGCTTTTTCGTTCCTGTATTTGGAGGGAACTTTTTACAGCCTCCCCCCCCCCCATCAATTCTGCCAACTGCAGGGGAGAGCCGAGGGCGAGGAAAATCCATCGCAGGCAAACCGAGGCGGAGCACTTACAGTCGGCGAGAGCCAAGCTTTCAAGTCCTGCTGTATTATTTTCCCCACCTCCACCTTTCTCTTTGGTCACGTTTTAGACTTTTGAGGCTGCATTTGGCAAAACAGAATGTTTCTTTCTAAGCCAACATGCTCTGTGCTATAATTCAACATCTTTCCCTTTACACAATTTATACCCCGCCTTCACCCCCGAGAAGACCCATAGCGGGCTTACGATATTCTCCTTTCCTCTGTCTTGTCCTCACAACAACCCTGTGCAGTAGGTTTAGGCTGGGGATGTGTGACTGGCCCAAGGTCACCCAGCGAGCTTCCATGGCCAAGTGGGGAGTCGAACCTGGGTTTCCCAGATCCTAGTCTGATGCTTTAACCACTGTGCCACGCTGCCTCTCTAGACCCCCTTTTTCTCTCTCCCATCACTGCAAGAGTCCCAAGATAGAGGTGGGCAAGTTATGGCCATTATGAGACCCGTGAGAACTTTTCATCTGGCCCTCAACCTTTACCGCTGACCAGCAAGATGACACTCCCTCGACCCCGTTTAATGCAGCTCAAGAGCCAAAGGCCACTCAGAGAGGGGGAAGGGGAGCTGCAGTGGGGTCGCCGTCTGCTCTCAAGAGCTCCAGTTTGGACACCGGCTCTTCTGGTTTCTAGCACCAGCTGTGGCCCTCGGGCCATACGGCTTGCTCACTGTTCTCCAGTTGGCCTGAGAAAGAGTCCCAGTTGCCCAGTCCTGGTACACGCCCATCACTTTTTCTGTGTTCGTGGTTTGGGAACACCGGGTCCTTCGAGAAATTCATACCTTGGTACTAACTGCACTTCACACAAATCGAGAAATGCACTGCAGTAGACAGAAGCCATTTCACAGAAGTTGGGCTTCCCCTCTGAAGCCCCCTCAAGTCTGAGCGGGCAGAGCCAGCGGAAACAGCAGAGATCAGGGTAGCCTGGGCCGTCCTGGTAAGGGCACATCATCTGCTATGAATCCTTTTTGAAATTGTGGCTGGGGATTGAACCTGGGCCCTTCTGCGTGCCGGGCAGACGCCAGTTTGATGTAGTGGTTAGGAGCCCGGACTCTAATCTGGGAGAACTGGGTTTGGTTCCCCACTCCTCCACATGCAGCTGCTGGCGTGACCTTGGGTCAGTCACAAGTTCTTTCAGAACTGTTCTCTCAAGGGCAGTCCTCGAAAGAGCTCTCTCAGCCCCACCTACCTCACAGGGTGTCTGTTGTGGGGAGGGGAGGGGAAGGGAAAGGAGATTGTAATGCCACTCTGAGACTCCTTTGGGTGGTGAAGGGCAGGGTATAAATCCAGTCTCCTCTTCTTCGACCCCCTCGCCTGTGCCATGAGTTGCACCCCAACCCTTCTTCCTGGTCAACCCACGCAGGTACCCCCACGACGTGGTGAACCACCTCAGCTGCGACGAAGCCCGGAACCACTACGGGGGCGTGGTGAGCCTCATCCCCATCGTTTTGGACTGCATGAAGGAGTGGGTGGCCCACAGCGAGAAGCTCCCTCGGAACATGATTCAGAGCGTGAGTGGCGAGCACAGGAGTCTGGAGAGGCGGGCCGCCAGGGACTTCGGGCGGGGCGCTGCAGGAACGGGGCCCACTGCCTCGGGCCAGCCCACTTTCCTCACAACGGCCACCCAGACCTCCCATATTTTGACAGGCCTGGCCCAGGAGAGTGGGCGGGTTCAGAAAAAGCCACAGGTGGGCCCGGGGAGGGCCGTTGGCAAGCTTCTCGACGGGCCTTGGAAGCCACCTGGTAGACACGCCTTTTAAGAGAACAAGATTTTAAAGCATGCTCACCTGACCTTAAAACTCGGTCTCCCTGGTCTTCGCTTCAGTTATGCCCTTCCCTGATCCCAGCAAGGAAGAGACAGCGCTAAGCATGACCCTCAGGCAACGCCCCCCACCCCGGAACGGGCTCTCCCCTCTTTGCCTTTCTAGATCTGCACTCACAGCCCACCTTTTGCTCAGGCCAGGCCTAACAACCGGTGACCTGCCAAGCCAAACTCGGCCCGCCTCCCTCTGTCAGGGCGCCTGGCAGTTGCTCAACAAGGCCCCTGTTTTCACAGCGCTGGGCAAGCAGCCCAAACCAGGAGGGCTTTGAGGCCCTTTTGATGGCATGTGGCTTGGTGGGTCAAAAGTCATAGTGGCCTGCATTAGATACCTGGGGCAGCTGTGTGCCCCTAACACCGGAAGGCGTTCCATTTACCCAGACCAGTGTTCCCGCTAAGCTGAGTTGGTGTGAGCTAGCTCACAGTTTTTTTAGCCTCTGGCTCACACTTTTTTGTCTCAGCTCAGCAAGGACGGCTCCAGAGCAAACTGATTGATGCAGTAGGTAAAATTGCTCGCTCACAACTTCAATGCCCGTAGCTCACAAGGTAGAATTTTTGCTCACGAGACTCCACAGCTTAGAGGGAACATTGACCCAGACCGTTGCAATTCTGGTCAGCTGCACACATGAGTCAAACCATTGCTCCATCAAGGTCAATACTGCCCGCTCAGACCGGCAGCAGCTCTCCAGGGTTTCAGCCAGATGTATCTCCCATCACCTACTGCCTGGTCCTTTTTAACGAGAGGCTAGGGAGTGAACCTGGGACCTTCCGCATGCCAAGCAGAGGCTCTTCCACTAAGCTGCAGCCCCTCTGCTTAACTCAAGTTATGGCAGCTCACCACCTCCTGGTCCATGACCAGCTAAAGCAGAAGTCAATAAACTACACCACTATAGAGTTTTGTGGGCCTGTGATCAAGGCCTGGCCCACAGAGGGAGGTGTGGGTCAGGGATAGGAGATTTTGATACTCGCTCCGGTCCCCTTTCGAGACAAGAGCCACCTTATTGCAGTCCTCCCTGGGTTCTATAGCTGGACTTGCCTTGCAGGGATAGGAGATTTTGATACTCCCTCCGGTCCCCTTTCGAGACAAGAGCCACCTTTCTAGAGAACGGGTTACCGCAGTCCTCCCCGGGTTCTATAGCTGGATTTGCCTTGCAGGGATAGGAGATTTTGATACTTCCTCCGGTCCCCTTTCGAGACAAGAGCCACCTTTCTAGAGAACGGGTTACTGCAGTCCTCCCCGGGTTCTATAGCTGGACTTGCCTTGCACACGTCACAAACGCCGAAGCCATCTCTGGGGCTTCGTCAGCGGGGCTCAGGCAGCAACACCTCTCTGAAAACCACGCCCCAAACGGCACCCTTGCAAGCACAACCCCGGCCCTCTCTTCTGATTGCTCTTTTCCCCTCCCTACAGGCTCCATAGCTCCGGCATTCTTGCCTCCTTCTGGAAGATGCTCCTGAATAAAGCCATTTCCCCTGCGCACGTGGCTCGTTGCTAGAATTATCGGGGTGGTGGTGGAGGGGGAGTTGTGGTCCAGTTATTGAAGGAAGATCCCATTGAGACAGTCGGGGGAAGAAGGGAGAGGAGAGGAGTCATCTTCTAGTGTCCCTCCTTTTCAGATCCGGGACACCCCCCCCCCTGCAGTCTCTAATCTGTAACGTGCCCTTGAGTGGCCCAAATCCCTCTTCTGATACGAAGCGCCCACCGGGTGATCCAGAACAGTCTCTCTCTTCCTAACCGCCGTGAGGATAAAATGGGGAGGGAGCTCCTTGTTGCCTTGAGCTCCTTGGAGGAAACGCCAGATAAAAATGTAATTAAAAATAAAGCGACGTGGCACCTGCCGTGGTGGTGGTGGTGGTGGAAAGTGCGGCCAAGCCACAGCTGACTGACGGTGACCCCGTGCGGGCTTTTCAAGGCGAGAGACCAGGGGTCATTTTGTAGAAAAAGAGTTGCAGGAGCTCATTAGCATAACTCATTTGCATACGCCACACCCCCTGACATCACCGGAAGTGTGTCAGAAGG